GTTTGGAATCCAGACCAGATTCTTATTGGGCTACCCCATTTTTTCCAAATAAAATGGAAAATTCCATTCAAACCACCCTTCCACTGTAGGAATAATTTGACCCATGGAAACTTCCTGTATTGTTTGAAAGCAGCGGGAGAGCTTAATTATTCAGCAACTTTGCAATCATTATATCAATGACTTGTGGCTTCTGGCAGAGAATGTGTTTTTTCTGGAGGCTGGTAATCATAACCAGAGTGTAAATGAGGATGAGTAAGGCTTTATAGACTATATTTTATACTACAAAATATATGAAAATTTAAATATTTATCCTTAATTTTGGTATTGGGGGTTAACGTGTAAGGTTTCACTATGGTAAGTACTACACTAACAATTCACCTTGCTGCTCTCAACTAAAAGGCAAAATCTCTAATTAGACAGAAAGGGGTATTATTATGAACTTCTACAAAATTATTACTCCTTAATAGGACACAAACAAAAGATGGGCAGCAACACTAACATGACTATGTAATAAGAAATTATTAACACAGAAATAATGAATGTACTTCTACTACTACTTTTTTTATTGGAACATCATCTATAGAAATCACAAGCCAAAATACATAAACAATTCCAAAACCTCAGTTATTGACATGCACATAGTTGTTTGTGATCATACACTGGGAATTGAAAAGAGAAATGCAAAATTGTAGGCCAAAAGAGCAAAAGTAGGAATATAACTGTAATGCTGACTTTTTCCAATTTAGTTTTATTTATTTTTTGATAAAAAAAAACAGCATTTTCTAGTCAATTCCCTTATCAATCACCACTTAAAAATAACCTTAGAAAATAGAGACTTTAAAAAAAAGATTAAAAAGTGGGGCACTCACCATAGGAATTAATGAAATCAGCAGGAATATTTCATTAGTTTCCCTGATAATTGCTAGACTTTTAAAACATTGACGCACTTAATCAACACATTTATAAATGTCTCCCCTAATTGAGACGATTCACAGAATTCTTTTCTTGTAATTGGCTACTGAAATCCTCCATGCCATCGCCATACTTATAACTTTTTTGTGTTGTTGCAAAGTTCAGGATACAGCATCCCTGCTCTGTGATTTTGCTGTGTAATTAGTTGGTAATTACTGAAATGAAGAATGCAGCAGCTTGCTACTGGATCCAAGTGCATTCATGGAATGAGAGGGCCTATAATGGAAATACATTTAAGATACTGTGGCTAAAGCACGCTCATGGTTCCACACCGGCTACTTTATTGCCAGTGAGTGAGAAGGGTGTAATGGTTCGGAATAAAGTGCAATGCTGACTCTGGAGAAGAACACTGTATGCTGTGAGCCGACTGCAGATTAATGACACGCCGATGATATGCTGTCAAGCCAATTTTCAACAAACACACGATCATGAAGGATTAACAATATATCAGAAAGAGATATATCAGAAAGAGTTTATGTGGATCATACATCAAAGATTCACCCGTGCCAAATGCCAACAGCCATCTGATTAAGTGCAGAATAGCCTGCAGTTGACCCCCCCTCTCAGTATGTGGAATAGAACGATGCATTATTTTGTAAAATGACTGTGATATGTAGCAAAAGCTCCCCCTTTATAATGATTTAGGTTGTTCCCACCTGTTAACTCTAGAATAATGATGTCTAAATTCAATTTGCATATACATTTGGCAAATGTGAGCTGTGGAAGCTTTGTATCGGACTAGGCTGCCAACAGTACAAATGGGTTTTTCATCAGTGAATAATAATGCAGTAACAAGCAAAAAAAATAAATATAAATCCACGTTATGGTTTAAATAGAACGTCACAAAATAGCAGACATGCTTTTTTAGTTGTATCCCCCTATACCATGCCTGTTTATTAAAGTCTATCTTCTACTAATACCGTTTAGATTAAGAATAAGATATCAAATGGAACTTGGTGTGACAGGTTCACTCTTTTAAATAACTATTTCATTATATTATTATTATTTATGCAGCACTAACGAATTCCGCAGCGCTGTACAATAGGTGGACTAACAAGTTTTTGCAACAGGATGAGTTGGATCCACAGGAACAGAGAGTGCTGAGTGCCCTCCTCAAATGATCTTACATTCTACAATGACAATATAATATTTTATATTTGATAAAAAGGATATATTGCAATGAAAATGAAATATCCCCATTTCAGTGCTGTCCTGGTCCCTAGGTTTTTTTGTGTTCCAGGGATTATCACATCACCCGGCCAAAGTGCATTGCAGCGAATGTGTTTTAGTTACTTGAAGGCAAGATGGGGAAGTGCATGGTAGTGTGTGCTAGGAATTGACTGAGAAAGGGAGGATACAACATTTTTTATTTAGATTTCCTATTAAATCTATACATTTCCTAGAATCTCTGATAACACAATGAGCTTCTATTCTTTTTTTAAATTAGCACAAGTCATGTCCTGTGGCAGGTACACTTTAAGTTCAGTTTATGTAAAGAGCACTTTACATAGTCGAAAAATTACGGAGTATGAATATTTTATGTGTAGCTCCAGTACATTTTATCATAGAGAAACTGCATGAGTGACTAGCTTATTATGATTGCCCGGTGAGTAATAGATATAGACTGAGGCCAGTCTAGGGTATTTATTCGTTCCCAGAATAAAAACAAATTGTTGCTCCAACCTTTGTGTCTCTCTGCACCCAATCACCACTTTTGTGTCTCTCCTTACTTCCTCACTTTCTTTTGTGTCTCTTCTTACCTCCTTATGAGTAATTGTCATGCCCTAGTTACCCCTTGACTCTTCTTCCCCCTCGCCCCATTTTATATTTTCTTCATCTGTCAGCTGGTGAACCCCCAAACCCTATTTATATGTTACTAGATGGAGATTTTAAATCTAGTACGTAGTTGTCCTGAAACTATAATAGAAACTCACAGCCAATCATATTGCTGCTTGATTTTTGTCCCATATCCCTCTGCAACTCAATCAAGTCCAATGAGTTGTATAATGGCTGTATACTGTGCATTTTCTACTTTAAATGTGGGTTTAAAGGAAATTTATAGCAAGCCTGTTATTGATCATTTGAGTTGAAGAATATCTCCTTCTTTAGAAGACTAAACCCACCATGTCGACTAGCTGCATTTCTGGGGCTCTTTATCTGACAAATCCAATCTGATGTAATTGACATTGTACCCCTGTACCCCTGTGTAATTGACATTGTACAAGCTCCCTGTACCCGTGTTTGGGTACCTTCGACAAGGAACGCTTCCTAGCTGGAACAAACCGCAGCACTTCTGCCCACTGTCACCGTGGCTTGACTGGGGTCCTGGAACTGCTCCCTCCAGGAGCCAAATGGGGAACTCGCTCTAGCAACCCCCAGGCACTGGACGACACTCAGTTCTGGGTGCTCCAGTTCTTACAAGGACTTTCCCCATTGAATCCTCCACACTGGAACAGTGATCAGTGATTAGCCCTTTCCCCTCCCAGTAACCAGACGACACATAGTTCTGGGAGTACAAGCTGGAATACATTTAATCTGGCCAGATGGCCTGCTTTTATACATTTCTGAACACAGACAAGCACCCCCATGACACTCCCACAGAAAACAGGATAATCCCTCCCCTATGCCTGGGAGATAATTGAGTCAGGAACTGTACAAAACTCAATTATCTCCAAGCACAAAAAAACACACATTTCACAAACACCCCAAATGTACCTTAAAAATCCATAAAAAAAACTAAAAGTTATAGAGTTTGTTACAGACATGTTCCCGATATTGATTTTCAGAGAGATCCATACTATAAAAGGACATATCTGTGTGACGTCGCTGAAGGAAGGTTCTCTGTGCTGGAATTCAGTTTTTTTTTACTCTTACATGCCCATGGGTGGGAGTAGGAGGGGGACCTAAAGTAATAAGAACAGGGGCATTCGATGACGTTAGGAATACAGTTTTGTATTCTTAATGCTATAGTACTCATTTAAGTTTTGGCCTCATTAATTTGCTGTATGTCATTAAATGTTTTTAAATTTTATTGTTGCCCTGAGATTCCTTTTAACTGTTAAACTGATTTTATTTTTGTTTCATGTAGATATGGAAGTTCCTCTGATGGGAAAGATTAAGGGGAGGAGCTCATAATTATCATAATAATTATTCTGATATAAAAACTTACAATATCAGCATCCGGTTAACATCCGCCGTGTTGATCTATAGTTCACTGTAGGCATTGCTTTCTTGGAGGCTGCTGTATATTGCCTCAATCTGAAGGTTGAGCCTGTGTCAACAAGCTGGGAAAGCATTTAAGAGTAATGGAATCAGAACTGTATAGACAACATCTGGAGCCGACAGTTAAATGACTTTAACTGTTACGGAAAAATAATGCCAAACAGAGGGCAATCATACCGCCTCTGAAACAGAGGATACAAAGAGGAGGATGGAGAAAATTTTTTATATTTTTGTAGCCAATTTTTATAATTAAAACACATTAAACTGAAAGGCAGAATGGGGACAAATATGGTGACATTTTTGTCTATTACAGGATACCAGCTGAACATCAGAGAGAGAGGGTTTCGATCATCAAATGAAAAAGGACTATGACCAGCTAAATTTGCCTTGCCACCTTCCAATATTTTTTTTTTACAATCTTTATTTTTGCTGTGCACATTTTAACAAGCATTTTTACAAAGATATTTCACAAGATATGTGACAAGAGAAATAACAATGTTGTCATGTGAGATATCAAGAGTAGAACTGCACTTTTTATATTAATAATGAATCAGATAAACAATGCATGAGTAAGTGATTATAAGAAAAACAAGTGAAGTATGCATGCGTAGACAGAAAGGTAATATACTATATTGGTATACAGAAGCAGATATAAAGCAAGTATACCACCACCGGGATCTTCAGGGACATAAAGGAAACGTACTAATTGACTTGCAGGAGTACAGCAAACAGAGTAATGTTATATGCGGTGTAATAAGGATCAATAGGCTGTGAGAAAACATATGGTGGAGGGCACATTCCAGCGGTCAGCCTATTCCCACTGTGGGCATGGTACAGTCCCCTCCAACCTTGCTAATCATCAGGCCCAGAGTTGCAAGCCTGTGATAGGTCAGATGTCGAGTAGCATTCCGCTTGTCAGTCTGTATGGGAGTGCCCCAACCTGGTGTGCATTTGCCCCTTGTCAGCTGATGCCTGCGTGCAACTTTTCTCACGCAGTGTCTGTGTGGTCTACGCCGCCATATGCGGGTCGCCATAGGACCTATAGCCTTTTGTTGGTTACTGGGTCTTCGAGATGGCTGGACAGGTAGGTATGGTGGCTGATCCTTTGTAGCAAGCAGGAGGCTCCTGAGCTGCAACTTTTGCCAAAATGCGTCAAAGAGACTGTCCAGTTTGATCAGTAGATCGGACTTCTCCTCCAAGTATAACCGGGAGCATGCGGTCTTTGCCATATTTGGAGCGCCAGACATGGAAGCAGCTGGAGTCTCGGCAGTACCCCAAGCCCCCTGCAAAGATAAGGAGCCCTGAGGGTGGGGACCGGGATCACCCCTGCCAGTCCAGAGTGGGGGAGTAGCGGGGTTTGGTTCCGGAGTTAGCAGGCATTGGGACAGGAGATCGTCCGCCTCTCTCTTCCACAACGCCCGCTAGGCCTCAGTCACGAACAGCAGGATTTCCCTCCAGGCAGCCGCTGGAAGCAACCCCGACCCAGACAGTCTGTACAGTAGAACAATTTGACGCTGTCTGCTTGAACTAAGAAGCCCAATAGCTAGGAGCTCTAACAGAACACGTTCAGTCGCCATCACAGTCAGGCCCCGCCCCCACCTCCCAACATTTTAAATGGAAAAAGAGGGACACTTTAATTTTACAGGTTTAAGTGGAGTGTGGCCAGTGGCATGGCTGTTGTGAAAAATGTTTGGTAACTTAAAGCGGCACTCTCACCCTTCTCTCTCTCCACCCTTCCCTAAAAAAATTTGTATTTGAAATCTTTGATCATTGAATTTCCAACCCAGTCAAAGGTATAGTGAGACAAAGACTACTTTTGTCTCTGTTTTTCTCCTATTCCTGACACTTGTAGAGGGTGGCTACAGCTGCCGCCATGTACTCTCTCTACTCACGCATGCCTCCAAACCCCAGCAACGATGTCACCAGCAGGGTGACATTGCCGCTTTAATAACAAACTGTGCAATTAAAATGTAATTTAGAAGAAGAACAATGTATCTTATTTACACTGACTGATTTCTAAACACCTTAATTGTATTTTAAAGAAACATTATTGGGAGTATTATTACTGTAGAGCTCTGTTGTATATTTAGACAAACCAATAGTATTGAGCTCATTGAAAAGAGAGACTTCTGAGTAGAAAATGTGTATAGAGGTATTTGGACCAGAAATATGAACTATATTTCTGGTCCAAATAGGGACAATTGAGTGTAATGCATTAGGGCAGTTAATTATGCTAATTCTTAATAATAATGTATAGAATTCTCTGTATATTTCTCTACCCTCAAACTTTCAACTGTAAAATTTTCTCTTCTCACACTACACACAATGCTTCTCTATTCTGGCAGTATCTTAACATCCCTCTCATAGATTTTAAGCTCCTTCTCACTAGACAATTTTAGTATAAAAAATTGAAAGTAATATATGCAATTTTTTAACGAGACTGCCCTTTTTCCAGGTGGCTCCGCCTATTGTGGGCATCATTAGTGACGCACCTCATGTCATTGGTGATGCTTCCTAATGACTCCTCCCACTCGTCCTGACTTCCGGTGAATTAATTTTGGTAGGTCTATGCAATGAAACAATTATGTTACTGAGCCTTTCAGAGCCGTAGAAGACATTGCACATGTCAAATCTACTCATGCCACCCAAAATGTGCAGTCCTGCCCAGAAAGGGAGAGGGTACCCAGAAAAGGAACGTGCATGCCTGGTATGATTGAAAGCCTCAGTTGTCCAGTTCCACTAATTCTGGCAAATAATTTCTCCTCATCATATGCAATGCTTTCCCTGACTTTAAAGAAAGAAGGACTAGAGGGTTGCAGATTGAATACATCTGCCCCCCTATTAGACCTTAGAAATAAAAATGCTCTGCAAGTACTTGGGCAGTGCCTAGATGAAGAGCAAAAACTAGAACAATATAATCTGTATTAGTCCCTCATAAGGAACAGCACGAAGAGAAATAGTGAATAAATAATTAACACTGTGTACTAACCACAAGGAAACTTAAATACTAATGGTGAAAGAAATAATAAGTAACAAACAAAAGTTAAAATAGAACCATGCGGATTCTCACTGTTACAGATCCAAAATGATGGTCAGAATAGGAGACTGTATCTAAATAATATGTTGCAAATAATTAATAATTATTATTATCCCCCCAAGGGGTTCACACGATTATATATTTTTTTCCCCACAACCTAGTGGCTTCATGAATCAATGTGACACTCTTGTTTTGTGTTGTTTCAAATCCCTTGGATCAGTTATATAGACTGTCTACATTCTTTACAATTATACCTGTCAGTTTCCCTTCAAAATGGCAACTTCACCCAACCAGTGCCAGGTAAGCTTCAGCCATTACAGTGATTGTCTGTGTGCCTGCTAGTGAGTAAGCTTGTGTGTGTGTGTTTGCTAGTGAGTGAGCTTTCGTGTGTGTGTTTGCTAGTGAGCAAGCTTGTGTGTGTGTGTGTGTGCCTGCTAGTGAGTGAGCTTGTGTGTGTGTGCTGCTAGTAAGTGATCTTGTGTGTAAGTGTGTGTGTGTGTGTGCCTGATAGTGAGTGAGCTTGTGTGTGTGTGTGTTGTGAGTGAGTCTGTGGTGAGCATGTGTGTGTTTGTGAGCTTGTCTGTAGTGAACATGTGTGTGTCAGTGTGCTTGTGTGTAGTAAGCATGTGTGTATCAGTGAGCTTGTCTGTAGAGAGCATGTGTATGTGTCAGTGTGCTTGTGTGTAGTGAGCGTGTGTCAGTGAGCTTGTCGGTAGGTAACATGGGTGCCTCAGTGAGTTTGTCTGTAGTGAGCATGTGTGCATCAGTGAGCTTGTCTGTATTGAGCATGTGTGTGTCAGTGAACATTTCTGTAGCGAGCGTGTGTCAGTGAACTTGTCTGTGGTGAGCATGTGTGTGACTGTGAGCTTGTCTTTAGTGAGTTTGTGTGTGTCATTAAGGTTGTCTGTATTGAGCATGTATGTGTGTGTTTCAGTGAGTTTGTCTGTATTGAGCATGTGTGTGTCAGTGAACTTTTCTGTAGTGAGCATGTGTGTATGAGCTTGTCTATAGTCAGAAAGTGTGTGTCAGTGAGCATGTGTGTGTGTGACAGTGAGCTTGTCTACAGTAAGAAGGAATAGATCTTATCCTTCATAATAATTATTTCTGGTTCAACAATGAATTTTTTCTACAAAAAGTCGGTACCGCTATGGGGACAAGGTTCGCTCCAAGTTACGCAAATCTATTTATGGCTTACTGGGAATCACAATTTATAGACAATAATTTGGAATGGGGAGCGAGCCTTGTCTCCTATAAACGGTACATAGATGATATTTTTTTAATCTGGAATGGTTCAGTGGATCTTTTAAAAACATTTTTAACCTTTTTAAATACAAACGACTGGGGAGTGATATTAACTACAGAATACAGCAAAGAAAGTGTTAATTTTTTAGACTTAACTATTTTTATAGAAGATAACAGCATTAAAACCAAAACTTTTTTTAAACCGGTAGATGTAAACAATTATATCTACCTAAACAGCTGCCATTTTTCTCCCTGGCTAAAAAATATACCAAAAGCACAACTAATGAGAGTTCGTAGAAACTGCACTGATCAAAGCACTTTTGAGATACAGGCTATTAAAATTAAACAAGATTTTATGGAAAAGGGATATGAAGAAATCTCTCTCATAAACACTATAGAAGAAGTTAAAATCATGGAAAGAACCTCATTGCTAAAATATAAACCAAAAAGTATAAACACAAATACAAATTTGCCATTTATTTGTAATTTCAATCAAGAAAGTCACAAAATTAAACAAATAATAAATAAACACTGGCCTATGCTAAGGAACGATCCTATGCTATACTCTATATTACCAGAGAGACCGAAATTAGTATATAGAGGAGCTCCTAACTTAAAACAAAAATTGACACATAATCACATCAAAGAAAACACACCTAACCCCTTTTTTCAGAAAGAAGGTTTTTTTGGCTGTGGACAGTGTCTAGCTTGTAGAAGCACAAAAAGCACAAAAAGACACATTACAGAATTCTACGACCCTAAAGGGGAGAAAAAATACAAGATACGCCAAATGATCACGTGTTTTTCTAAGAGGGTTATATACGTTTTAAAGTGTTCTTGCAATTTATTCTATGTTGGCAGAACGAAACGTCCCCTACAAATAAGAATAAATGAACAAATCAGAAACATTAAAAAAGGATATGATAAACATAGTGTTTCAGAACACTTTAGCCTAACACATAATAAAGACCCTCAATTTTTAGAATTTATGGCCATCCAGAAAATTACACTTAATTGGCGAGGGGAAGATGAAATTAGAAAATTAGGAAAAATTGAAACAAAATGGATTTTTGATCTTAACACTCTAGCTCCCACAGGTCTAAATGCAGACTTTGAATTATGCCATTTTTTTATGAACTAGACCATATATATATATAAAATATACCAATCAACATCATTGTTTCTCATTGGGCCTATTTTCTTCAGCATTATTTCATATAAGAGTCCCCACTGTTTCAAATAAAGAATAATTAAATGTATTTATTTTCATACTAATTTTATACATTTAGAATGATTAGAACAAAAAACAGTTGGAATTTTTAAAAATGAAAAATGCACACTTTGAAACAAAAGCCACTTTTTTCCACTGTGTTTAATTTGCATGTTTTTCTATGTAAGAGATACTATTGCTTATAATAGAGATTAAATTGTATGAGAAACAAAAGTGTTTGAATATAATTGAAGTTATTGCTCTTTAAAAATTAGAACACATATGGAGGAATAGAAGTATATAAGCAGGATGCTATAAAGACACATTTTTTAAAGATAAGACATATACAATAACATTTTATTACAATGTCTCTTTTTTCTTCTATTTGCATTGTAAACTATACATGAGCCCAAGAAGGCTCTAATATGAACTGAATAAAGCTCCCAGTGCGGACTATATTTCCCACAAATAACCGGACGAAAACCGGAAGTGACGCGCTAAGCGCAAAGCACTCTGGATCCTGTAGTGCCGAAAAAACGGAAGTGACGCGACGGCATTTTAGCCGCGCCACATGACACAAACAGACTCTTTTGATTGGAAGAAGACATTTTAGGCGGGATTTTGGACGCTTAAATTACAGAACACCAAGAGGACACTCACAAGCTGACTGAGGAAGCCGTTTTTACCGGCGAAACGCGTTTTGGCTTTTAAAGTGGACTCATCATTTTTTTCTGAACCACCAATACTTGCAATATTTT